TCCCGTCATGGCTCTTCAGGACAAGACGAAGCAGAAGCAAAAGCCAGTGCGTGAGCACACACAGGCGACCCCACGGGCGCTGTTGTCCCTGCTGGAGCCATGGGGGCTTTGCCCACCAGCATGGCTGGAGGGGACAGGCTCTGTGATTTCCACCCATAGGGGATGTATTCTGCTTACTGGGGCATCACTGGGGTCTAAGTATATTTACTGAGGGCAAAATTTGGTCCTGGGTGGCCATAAGCTCGCAATATGAATGGTCTGGGGCTGTGTTACGCACTCAGGTCTCAGAGGGCTGAGTCGTGCCGATGGGAGGACAGCAAGTAGCTGCCCGCTGCCTGTACTGCTTTTAAAGCTGAGACCAAGTAAAACAGATCAGTCTCTGCAGAGCAAAACTCGGTGGTGGTGGCTGCAGGGATGTGTTCAGAATTAGGGGTTGGCGACAAGGAGCAAAATCCCGAGCAATGGATTTCATCCCCTCTTCCTAATGCTGAGCTGAAGGCTTTGACTTGGTTTGACTTCTGCTGATTAAAATCCAACTGCCGTGCATCCTGCCGGGATGCTCAATATTCCTGAGTGCCCTTTGGACCAGACACTGCTGAAAAGCACCTTCTCTTGCCTGGGCTGCCCCAGGGAGGGTGCGTGGCCGTCCCTGGGTGGCTGCAAGCTCCCACTGCACACACTGCAAGCGGCGAGGCCAGTCGAGCTCCTTGCCCTGTCTCACACAGCTCATACTCACCTGGAGAAAGAAGCCCCAGCAGAAAGCGCTGACGAATACGGCTGTCTAAATCCACATGACGGGAGCGGATAGACAGACTGGCTCTGCCTGGGATCGGGAAGAAAGAGGCTATAAAGTATCCACAGCTACGTGGTGGTTCCTAAAGATCCCCTTTGCTAAGGGGCTCAGCACTGATGCCCCAGGAGCTCTGCCTGGTGGGATACTCGGGGCGTCCCCTGGGCTCAAAGAGCAGTGTGGGACTTAGCGCTTTATTCTGAGGAAAGCTGGGCCTCCCTGCGAAGGCTGGATCCAGCTCTGACCCCCTCTATTGACGAACGCTGCAGCTGTGAGTTTATCCCGTTGAAACGCAAAATGGGGAGGTGTGCTGAAAAATTAGAAGATGTCCCACAGAAGAATTTGCTTAAAAGAGCACAGTTTGACCAAAAGACCTAAATCCTGGCCAGAGTATCCGTGCGGTCGCAGGATGCTCTAGGAGGATGCCCAAGCACAGGAACCTCCTGGTATCTGGAGAGAAAGCACGTACACTGCCCTTGCACATGCTGCGGAAACGCTCTGGTTTCCCCAGTGCATCCCTAAAAGGATGCTCGTCATTTTTTAAACAAGCCAAAAGCTCTGCCCTACATTTCTTTTGAAAGTAATTTCATACTGGGGACTGGGCACCAGACCTGGAAATTATTTTTGAAATAGTAAAATAACTATGCAGGAAGTTCCTCCTTGTTCCCAGCAAGGGAAACCCCCCTGTTTTCATATGGATTTAGCTCAAAAATACCTTGGCTTGTTCTGCAAACCTGCCAAAAGATGCTCCCAGCCTAAAACTGCACATGGGAACTGAGATGCCTGAGAAGGACGTAACAGGGTGCCTAAACCTGCACAGATGCTCATGCTACTCCAGCCAGGCTGTGCAGAGCTATGCTTAAGACCAGCACCAGCTTTTTCCAGCTAATAAGCAAAAAAAACCCCCAAACTCCATTATCATTCAGTGCAGTGTCACCTCACTGTCCCGCGAAGGACCGAGCTCCTGGATGCCAGGAGACCGTTTCTGCCCCAAAGAGGCCCTCGAGCCATGCTGGGGAGGAAGGAGGTTTCTGTTTCTGCTGCTCCAGGAGCTGCTGTGTCTCGGCTTGACTGAAATCTGCAGGATCTGTCTGTAGGAAAGGCAGCCGAGGCGGCGGGGCTCTGTTTATACCCTGCCAGGCAGGAGCCCTCTCCCACCACTTAGATGTTGGCAGGTATAAACACACCAACAAACAGCCAAGCGCTACCGAAACAACCTTTGAAGTCAAACATGGCTGCCCCAGGGCCGAGAAAACACTCAGAGCTAATCCAGGAGTGACAGGCGTTACTGCAGGAGCTGAGATGCTGGGATAGGGAAGGAGCCGGGCACTCGCGGCTCCATCCACAGTGTGCACATTAATGCAATGGCAGAATCCACTCCTGATGGTTGGGAATGGATGGTTACAGCTCCTACCGCCTGGTGGTGGGAGGGCGGCTGGGAAAAAGGCATGGGACAGGTATGGTGGGGCTGCCCCAGGAGCAGGAGAGCGACACGGATCACAGGCTGACATTTGCTGCCAGGCTCCTGTGAACAAAACTTTCTCGACTGGACTCTCGGAGGCTTTTTACCCCACTGTCATCCTAGATAATTACAGCGCGAGTGATTGCAGCTCCTCCTCCAGAAGCACGTGGTGGGAACAAAGCCTGTTTCTGCCCAGCTCCTGCCCACCAGCTCACGGAGGAAAAGCTGCTTCCCCTGCTTCCCCTGCACGGCTGCCCCGGCTCGGTGGCACTGGTGCGGGCATCCCCAGCACAAGCATCCCCGGCAGAGCCCCAGCTGCCTCCTGCACAGGGTTCAATGCTGCCACTCCTGCACTCACCCGCACTGATGTGCTGAGCCTTGGCTGAGGACTGGGCACTCTGGGAGTGGTTTTCAGGCTCTTTCCGTAAATTTTGGGCAGGTAAAAGGATGAGCTCTATGACAGACACATGTGCATTGAGGTGCTGCGCTCCACTCCGTCAGGTCGCTTGTTGCTGTTCTGTATCTGCTCTGCTACTCACTGATGAACGCGTCTGATGAGGTTGGTTGAGGATGACAAACCCTGCAGATGCTGGAGCAGCTCTCAGCAACGCAAACTCCCTCCACCACCAACCACCGACAAAACCCCTGTGCAAACTAGACTCCGGTCCCTCCGCTGCCCACCCCAGCATCCCACCCCAGGAGTGGACCTCGCATGTGGCAAACAGCTCCTTGCTCACCCCCAATGATCTCTTTCATGTTCCAGCACAGTCACCCCAGTACTTGTTTTTCCTGAGGATGAAACACATCATATGAGGACTTAAATCATGGCCCAGGAGTAGCAGATTTAGCACAGAAGGCAAAATGTAATCTCTTTGAAGCCAAACTCTGTATCAAAGGCCTCAGCCACTGTTTCCTTGTGGTTAAATATCTGGAACATGAAATTCATAAACAAAACCAAACAAAAAGCTAACATTTTACTCTATGTTTTAATGTGCTTCGCCTCTCCCATTCTGCAATACCTCCTTGTACCTGCAGGTCTCTGCTGGGGTTTTATCAGCTGGCATCAGGGGAAACCTGGCCGCTCGCCCCCGCCATTGCTCTCCCCACGCTCTGTCCCCATCCCAGCCGCCCCAACCCACTGTGTGCAGCCAACAACCTCCGTGCCAGCCCCTGCGCGGGACCTGCGTCACCGACCGGGATTAAAAATTAATCTGCGGAGTGACGATGCTCACACAGCACCGCCCGCCTGACCTGCTCCCTCGCTGTGCTGGCGATCACGGCGACAAAAGCCAGCAGTGATGACCACAGAGCGCACACCGGTGTGTTTTTAACACCAAGGAGCACACACCGGTGTGTTTTTAACACCAAGGAGCACACACCGGTGTGTTTTTAACACCAAGGAGCACACACTGCTGTGTTTTTAACACCAAGGAGCACACACCGGTGTGTCTGAACACCAAGGAGCACACACTGCTGTGTTTTTAACACCAAGGAGCACACACTGCTGTGTTTTGAACACCAAGAAGCACACACTGCTGTGTTTTGAACACCAAGGAGCACACACCGGTTGTGTTTGAACACCAAGGAGCACACACTGCTGTGTTTTTAATGCCAAGGAGGACACACCGGTGTGTTTTTAACACAAACAAACACACACTGCTGTGTTTTTAACACAAACAAACACACACTGCTGTGTTTTTAACACCAAGAAACACACACTGCTGTGTTTTTAACACCAAGGAGCACACACTGCTGTGTTTTTAACTCATGTCCCTGGGCAGGTTAACCAATGAGCTCTGCTCTGTGAGATGCTCCTCGGTGCTGGCCCATGCAGAGGGGACATTTTGGGAGTACTCCAGCTCATGGTCCCTTCTTCCCCGTCCCCCCGGGGACAGTGGGTGCCATCAAGTCGGCTGTGCCTCGGCTGGGCTGTGGGTACCAAGGTGGTTCCCCAGGGCAGGTCCCTGTCACAGAGTATTTTTAACCAGACCCTGCGAGGCACCATGGCCCAGTGGATGGAGCCTCCTGCTCAATTATACCATGTCAGCAACTTGCTAAGGGAAAGCACTGTTTGTGCTGAAAACCCCAGCGATAGAGAAAATTACATCCTACTCAAAAAGAGAGGCTGTTGTTGTGATTTGGAGAGGGGTGTAGAAAGCTCTCCCTGGGTTTCCTAATCTGCACAGGCAGCCAGGTGTAAGGCAGGAGGTGGTTTGGAAGCGGGCAGGTTGTAACCCCACTCCAAGGATGCCCCAGCTGGGACAAAGCCTTCAGCCTCTCCATGGATCTGCTTCCCATCTCTAAAACAGGCCCAAACCCCCCTCCCCATCATACAGCAGGCAGGAGGGATGAGGGCGGCGCAAAAGCACCATAGAGGTTACAGAGAACGAAGTGGTTTGGTCAATAAAGCATCCCCTGCACAGAGCAGCCGGGCGAGCCCGTGTGGGGCCGAGCCCCCCACACTCACCATCCCATCGACGGCGTGATCTGTCCGACTCCGCCGGGAGGGAGGGGGTAGAAACCAGGGATGTCTGAGGTCTGGGACGGACGGTGCACTCCTGTGAGAAGGCAGAAGGAGATGAGTTGGACCCAGCATTGTGCTCCCTGGCTGATCTGGACTGTTCCCAAACCCCTGGCTGCTCCCAAACCCCTGGCTGTTCCCGACCCTCTGGCTGCTCCATCCACAGCACTCGTGGGCAGCAGGAAATACCTGTGAAATAGCTGTCTGCAAGTGACAGGATATTTTAATTGCCCTTTCTATTGCTGTGGCTCTCTCTGTGGAGATGTGGTGGGTTGTTCACGTTGCTGCAGAAGCACAAACACTCGTGTAACGGGGTGGGGAAGGCAGCTTGCTCTTGCACAAGCATCATCACTGCTCTGTGCCACCTGGGGCCAAGCAGCAACTTGCTTTGGGAAGGATTCGATGGACTCTGGACATCCCTCTGCCTTTTCAGAGAGCCTGTTCAGGTGCACTACTGATGGTCAAAGCCATTCCTACAACCCCTTCCCATTGGTCATCCCTGGGACCCTCCATGAGTGACCAGTAGGGATGCTCCAACAGGCATCATGTCTATCTCAATTTTAAATGATTTGAGTCCCTGTTCAAAGCAATCATTTTAGGGCTCTGTGGGTGCCAAGGAATGGTGGAGGGGGGTATGGTGCCAGCTGGGAATTCACCCTTTGCACGGGGAATCCCTGTGCAATCTTCAAAGCCACTGGCACGGGTGGCATGGCCAGAGGAGACAGCTGCAGCATCTCGCTGTTCCTACCTGGACCCAAAAACAGACTGTGGAGCCCACGGCTGTGGGTAGGACTCAGACAACCACGGTGCTGCTGGCAAAACCAGCCTCTGGCTGATCCCCGGACTGGGAAAACTGGAGGGGAGCTGGGGCTGGGCTCTGCCACAGCATCGGGCACCACAGAGTCCCCAGAGCAGCCAGATACTCCCTGCATTGCCTCCTCACCCAGCCCAGCCTGCAGGACCTGGCAATGCAAAGGACCAGCTCTCCACCGACCGCTGACGAACCTCAGACAAAAGATCACGTACAGAGGTTGTCCAGCAGCCATCCTGGGCAATAAATACAATTACTAAATTGGTGATTAGTCACAAGCAAACTCAGAAGTCTCTATTCTTTTCCTCGGTGTATTAATGATAAATTATTAATTAGGAATGACACCAAGAGATTCCAAGCATATTATTAGGAGTTTGCTACAATAAATATATAGCTGACCTGAAAGGAATAATTAACTTAGTATGAGATTTACCTACAGCTGTGCTCAAGTGGGACGCAGCAGCCCACTGAAGGTCAAAGAAAACCAGCATCTGCATTAGGGCAGCTGCCAGGATTTCCTGAGATTCGAACCTCCAACAATACCAGCTGTGTAAGCCAGAGCACAGGTTATTCCTGCTTTTCCCCAGCCACTGACTCAGAAGATCCTGCTTGTGCTTCCTTGTCTGCGTGTCCTTGGGCTACTGTGAAATACTTTAAAGCGATGCTGTGAGAATGAGTACGACAGTGACTCTCAAGCGCTCACGCTCGGTGATAATGGGAGATCTTTCAGCGATGAAAATAGAGATGAGACACATCCAGAATGAATGAGGAAGGAAACCCTTGCCCCAGCAGCATTAGGGATGGGGCAGGCAAAGCTGACCAGAGCTGAATCACAGAGGTAGGTCCCAGCTGAGGATGATGGGCTGAACCTCTCCACAAATAGAACCTGGAGGGGTCTCTGGGATGGACAGACTCCCCCTGCCTCGGAGGTAAATGTACAGGCTAAATGGGAAAGGGGATGGACCCATGGGAAAGGAAATGGGAAGGAAATGAATGCTTTGGGACTACTTCAGTGCCAATTGTAGCCTCCACAGACTGATATAACCAGCTCATCCCTGGGATGAGCTGCTCCCGTATTGCTGAATGCTTTCCAGGCTAACAGCGAGTCCCCAAGGCAGCTCTCAGTGAGGGGCTTTTGTGCTCTGCAAAGGCAACATGAGGGAAGGTGTTGGGTCGCCTTCCTAGGAGACAGAAATCTGTAACACTTCATCTCAAGATTCAGAAATCTGCCACTAGCTGAGCTTTTAAAAGGTTTATTTTGTTAACTCCTTATATTCATCTGCTGAGTTTATTATGCTGTGGTACCTGGCAAACAATGTGCTGGCTGGGTATGTCTTACACCAGACCTAAATCCTCCTCATCAGCATCCCTGCTGAGTCCAGGACGTGGCCTCTGGGTTCAGACCAGAGACAATTCAGCATGCCCTGCAGCCAAAAGCATCCTTGATACCCCATCATTTTAGCAATTATGTGAACTCATTGAAGCCAACATCTTCAGGACAGTTCGGATCACTCTTGGGTGGAAGCCCCTGCTCAAATCACAACAGCTGGTTTTGTGCCTCCATTTTTGCACTGATTTCTGGGCTCTGATGAACCCTGAATCCCTTCACAAATGTGCTTTGACACAAAAGTGTTGATTTGCTCACTTTCACGTGAAATCAAGAGAAAGTTTGTGCAAAAGCCTGGGCAATCTGAACAGATGTTGAAAGATTCTGTTGCACTAACATAAAGTTGATAAAAGTTTGATTTTACACTCAGCTTTCCTGCAACCCACAAAAAATGGGGTGAATTCCTGTGCAGGTAGCTATATTTTACAGTTCAGTGTTTAACCTCTACCTACTGTACTTTCCTCCGTAGCCTCATGAGCTGATTGACGTGTCCTGGACTCACACAGGAACCCAAAGAACCAAACCGAGTGGCAACCACATAACGTGTGGCTACGAACACACACACACATAACAATCCAGTTAGCTATCAGACACCAATCCTATTTAGTCAAAATATTTCCTGTTTCAAGCATTTATTTTCTCAAAATGACAACCTGACAGCAGTTTGGGTATGAGTCAAAGGAAAGATTACTTTCCATTTTCTGGTTGACTCTTACGCATCACCTCGCAGGCTCCGGTCTGGTCTGAAGCTACAGGACAGTCTGCACAGAGACTCGAGCACACTCGATCACCAGGGTCGACACTTCCGATATAAAACTCTTCTTGACTAGGATTACAAAGCACTGCCAATATGCTCAATAAACTACTGCTAAGCAATGTCCCAGTTGACCAAAACTCTTGACTTTTCCCATTGATTTGGGACAAGGAAGGTGACAGCCTGGATCTCAGTGGTCTCCAGCACTGTCCTCCCTCCCACCATGCGGGTCCCCAGCGGTGCCATTACCTTGTTTCTGATTGATGTCGGCAGGCAAATGGGGTGAGTGGGAGCCGTGGCTGAAATGGTCGTTGCTGTAAGGGATGAGCGGGGTGAGCGGATGCACTCCGTGAGACGGCTGCACGACGGGAACTTTGTTGGACTGCAAGACACAAGGAGGGAGAGGCCTCAGAAGCCGTCGGGCTTCGTAAGCAAGGAGGGTCAGTGCCCTCTGCAGTTTTTGTCATTGTAAGCAAAGATGGGAATTACTAAAGGTCCCCAGTGTTTCTCAAGGGCAAGGCTGAAAATGCCCTTGCCTACTTAAATAACCACTACGGCATCCTGCAAGAAAAATCCACAAACCAAGCAGTGACAACAGCCCAAGATGATTGCATGGGTGGGTGGAAACCAGCTCAAATCAACATGATGTTTTCAAAATTTAGAAGAACATTTTTTTCGTTCATTTCCAGTATCTTTTATTCCAGGATGAATGTTACACGCAGATTACCCAGTGCATTGCTCTTGTTTTCTGCCTTGTGCTACCACAGGGTCTAAGTCTGGACTCTCACATCCTGCACATTCACTCTGAAAGCCACGCTCAGGCTTTCCCAACCGGGGCTCTCAAGCAGGGAGAGCCACACTGAGGATGATGCCTTTGAAATCGTGACGTGGCCACCTGTGAGTCTTTGGGCTGAAATCCCCTCGGTCCCAGCTCCAGCGCTGGCAGCAGGATCGGAGGGAGCTGAGGCAGCGCTGGGGCTGCAACAAAACCAGGAAAATTTAAAAAAGAAAAATTCAATCTCCTCTTGCAGCTACTCCCGGGTACCCACACTGAGGCCATTGGAGCCCAACACTTTTGTAAAAGGCGCTTTTTTGTGAACACAACTGGGAGTACCTCTGCGTGTTGGAGCAGAGAGAGAGGAACCTGTTCAAAAGAGCTGTAAGGAAAACACACACACACACGCATACACACGCACACGTACACCACCATCCACTGCCAGCCTCCTCGCCTCGAGCGTCTCAAGCTGCTCTCTACATGCCCGGTTTCGCCCATGGTTGCCTTTAAACCCAAACTGACTTTGCCTTGGTGGTGGAATGTTAGGATTTGTCCCAGATAAATCCGGGAAGACGAACAGGACTTAGAGCACCCCAAAACAGGGAGAAAATTAGAACAGACCAGGTGAGACAGCTCTCCAGGGGCTAGGAGCTGGGTATGGTTGGCCAGACCTTTCGTGTCCCACCAGGACATCTACAGATGATTCACCGTGTGCCTTTTGACAAGTCATTTACAATCTCTGGACTTGATTCACTGGTGCCTTTCACCCTGGTAACGACTTTGCTCAGGCAGGGTGAGCACAAAACACCAGTCAGCTTTGGTGGAGGCGGTGCAGCCGGAGCTGATGGCTCTGGAGGTCCTGTCCTGGACCTCTCTCTGCTGCTCCCAGCGGCTGCCGTGACAGCCGAGAGCCCTGGGCAAGCCCTGTGTTTTGCATCGCTGCTCCGAGGAGGAAACCCGCGGAGTGGAGCGGAAAACAGACCTATGGAGATGCTGCTTTACATCTGTCTTTCCCACAAAGGTTTGCTCATGCAAATAAAAATCAAAAGGCATGCAGGTTTGCATTTAAGAATGAATGAAACCCCTAATTCCTGATATTTACCAGGGGTAGATTTACTGCATACAGTGGGATATTGGGAATATCTCCCATCTCCCCAGCACAAACTGGTGTGGTACAGGTGTTCCTGTCCTACAGCAGGGCCATAGGCCATATGGTTTTCCCATTGAGAGCGGCACTGGGCTGGCTCCTGCTTGATTAAACACGTTTGGAGCTCTGAGCTTCTACTATTCTTGCCCATGAAATGAGATGAAGAATAGCTCTTCAGTGACATTTCTAAAATTAGCTATGCTTTAGCTTATTTAAGAGCCAGAAAGCCTAAATTAGAGATATGCAGCTCTACGTGTACATTTTAACATGACACTGGAGCAGAACAAGCTTGATGCTGAGCCGTTTTGAAAACCTCCACTTCAGCATTTCTCCTGTTCAAAGTGGGGCAGATCTTTCCTTCCCCTTTGCACCGTGCCCCATCCAAAGCCCAGCACCATCCACCAGCCACCCTTGCTGTCCGACGACTTAACAGCTTTCAGAGCAACGACCAAAGACACAGACCACTACAAAGGCAGCTGAACAGTCCTGATGCTGCTCCACAGGATACCTCAACAGTGAAACGCACAGCGCACATGTGGTTACAGCAAAGGCACGGGCCATCCTCCTTCTCCATCAAAGAAGAACATTGTAGCTTGGTGGGACAACTGCAGCTCAGCCACTCAGATTTTCCATCAGTTCAGATGGGAAACAAGATGTTGCACCAGTAAGAAGAGCTGGCCTTCCCCGTGTCCCTTCTACATTTGCACTTTGCTCAAAATCTTGTCTCCTACTCTTTAAAGTCATAAAAAGCTGGTGGGAATGGATGCTCAGGAAGGAGTTAAGACAAAACTTTATGTAAGAGGCTACTCATCCCCTCCTGCTCCTTCCATTTGGGAGTTCATTACAGGAATCCATCTCCCAAACTGAACCAACCAAAGGAAGAAGGAAATGCAGCACAAAGATCTGGAGAAACAGAGAAGACACCTTCAGTGTTGGTCCCCAGTTTAAACTGCAGCTGCTAATGGTCGTGGTCCATGCCCATGTCCACAACTCTCGGTTCTCACCAGATTTGCTGTGGCTGCCACACATCTTTGCTATGAAATCATATCTCATTTATAGAAATCAATATGCCAGAGAAATGGTACCGATTCTTCTTTTTTACAAGGCCTAGATGTAGTTCCTGCACCATGGGGATGTGCTGCAGCTTGGCGAAGCCTCTCATTGTGTCTCCTCCACAAAGCTGTGCTTCAGTGCAGCCCAGAGCAGCGGTGACGGTGCTGCTAGCTGCCCACCCACCCAAAATCATGCACCTGGTGCCCAGCATCACAGCTCCAACCCCAAGTCACCTTAAGTCACCTTCTGGCCTTCGGCAGGCGTGGGGGGACATGAAAGGGTTCTGAAGACGGTGCTGTGTCACCTCTCCCAGCACAGCCCTTTGAGGCCAGGTAGGGGAATGAGTTGTGCACCACCACCCTGCTACAGAAATGAAGAAGCGCATTTACAGCAACACCAGGACGGTGTTTCCAGAGGGCACGGAGCAGCAGAATGGGTTTTGCAAGCCTGGGTGGCATTTTTCCCCTCTCAGTTTTGCTAAATTGCAACTCTCCCAGGTGCCCACCCTCCCCGGTGAGTGGTGGCTGCTCCGGTCCCTGCGCACCTCATGCCAGGATTTGGTGCCGCTTGGTGCTGGGGCAGGCGCTGATCCCACAGCTCATCACCCCAACAGCTTTAATTAGCCCCATCAACCTGGCTGAAAATAAAGAAAAAAAAGACTGTGAGGGAAGAAGCTCCCATGTTGAAGCCAAGAAGTGACTTTAATAACTAGAGGTAATTGGATGAGCAAAGAGAAAACGCAGTCACATTAATTATTAAGAAAGACTAATTGTTGGCAAGGCAAAATTAGGAGAACTCACCGCTCACGCATGGGTGTCTGATTGCGATAACAGCTCGAGGCTGGTGAGAAAATGCTCCTTTTGCTGAGCAGGCACAAACCCAGCAGGTCTCCGCAGGAGGATCACCCCCACGACCAGAGCCGCAGCGGTGTTTGGCTCCGAGGTGCCTGATCAGGCACAGCATCCTGCGCCTTCACTCCCATCCCACCCCATGCTGGCCCGGCCATGGGGTTATCCAAGCCTGGCAGAACCGTAAATGAGGTTTTTTTTTAAACAAAATGTGAGTTTTTCATTAGAAAATGGCAAGAGATTGAAATCAAACATCAACTGGAAAGCACCTTGTGCTAGCAAGTATTTTGACTCATTTTTTTAAAGACTGATCTATGTAGTCGTGACATGCTAAAAATGAGTAGTTTTACTTTGCTGGCTCGACAGAGGATTTTTTCTTTTAAACTTTAAAGCTAATATTAGCAAAATGTAGCACGGAAGGTCAAAAGTCAGAATTTGAGTGAAAAGATTAAACGAAAAAATTTCCATGGCTGGCAAAACTCTTTCAGTTTTTAGCTCTGTGAAAATATTAGAAAAAATGGTAAAGAACTTTTTCTGCTTGGATCAATTTAGAAGAAACTAATTTAAAAAAAGAAGTGGATGTTTTGTACCCTGTGAAAACTATTCCTTGCTACAGTGGAAAGCAGCTGTTAAAAGCAGCAGTGGTCACACCAAGCTGCCTGGGTGGCTGCTGGGGATCCCAGCACCCCACCAGTGCTGTGCTCCACCGCTGCTCCTACAGATGGGAATTTTTAAAACTACTTTTCTGGTAGAAGACAATTCATAACTAAAATAAAGCAGCCTCCTTCTACTGCCCCTTCCAACACTTAGTGCCCAATTTAATGAGAAAAGTTTTGCAAGATTTCACGATGGCTGCACCAAGCACCCAGGATCAGTCCTTGTTGCATACCCGACCCGCACCACGGCGAGTTGTTCAGTACATTAAAGGAGAGGAATGAACCTGTCTGCCATAGTCCACATTACACCAACCAAAGACAGGAGTTCATCTGACAAGGCTGATCTTGATCCGCCCTGCTGCACACAGGCACAAAGCATCCTTCCTAGGAATAGCCCCTTCTTGGTTCTGAGGACTGCATTTCAAGAGTTTTTACGTTTTCTCCAGATTTTGAACAGAAACGACCTAAGTGAAAAGCTGTCTTTATTCATAGTTTGTTTTTAAGGCAAAGTCACATATGATGATGCTGTTTTGTTGGAAAGAAACTTATATTTTACAGATTTCCCATATGGTTGAAATAACGTAACACATTTGAGAATTTGCTCTCACTTTATAAAAGACAGCCCAATGCCCCCAGGAGCTGCACCGCACCCCCATAGGCACAGGAGACTTCGCACATGTAAGGCACCCAAAATACATGTGAGGTTGCAGGTGTTGTGGGTCCCATAAACACAGGGGACCCCATGCCCACAGGGGATCTCATGTCCATGGGGACCCTGAAGGCCAGAGACAAAGGACAGCCTGTCAGGACTCTGCACAGCACCAGCGTGGCTGGGGACCAGCACCTTTGGGCTCCCCAAGAAGGACAACGGGGTACTGCCTGCACAAACCTCAGCTCCCACAC